CTAATCTTGTAAATGTATACTGGAAGTTGAGCATAATTAGTTTCTGGAAAACACACTACCTCTTCACCAGCAACTTTTCTAACTTTCTATATATTTCAGTACTTTGAATCAAGACCATATTTTTTCTGCATAGTTGAAGATGTCAAGCCTGGTTTCATACCTAGACCAACATTTTTAAAGTTTTCTAAAATAAGCTTACTTATTACTTTGGAGGGAGCTTTTGGTGCACCAATGATTCTAGAGAAAACATGTATGCTTGTTGATGTACTTTTGTTACTTAGAAATACTCACATAGTAGATTTTGTTTTGAAACCATCAACTTGTAGTTTTTGTCAACACACTTGACAACTAACAACTTGGTGTTTAACTTTGGAACAATAATTTTGAATTTGTGTTCAATTGAAATCATACGTACATTACTTAACTTATTATGAACGATTGACCCTTTTTGAATGATCTTACTATTATGAAAAGTAGAAAATTCAAGTACTTTTTCATCTGACTGTCAACTTCCTCAAACAAGAGATATGATGGGTGTTAAGGTTGAAGAGATATATTCACTGGATACAATGGTGATGACGAAAAAATCCGATAGTGATGATGGACATATACAACAATTTTTATGTAGAAAAAAAATGAAAATTTACTTATTTTGCTAAACAAAAGACAAAATAAATGTTCGATAATTTATATATTTAATATTTTTAAATTAAAAAATTTGATTGATTTAATAAACCAAAAAATTGATTTATTATCTCAACAAAACAATTGATTTGATTTTTAACTTGTGGTTCAAACTAAACATAATGATAGATATAAACTTTTTGAACATCTAAATTTTAGATAAAGAAATATTTTTAACAATAAAATCAAGTTTACACTTTTATCATCACAAATAATTAATTGTATTTATAAAAAGATACAAAAATATATCTAGTTTTCTTAATATTATTTTAGTAAATTTAATATCTCAAAATTGTTTTTTAAAGATGTATTTTCAATTTTTTTATTTTTAAAAAACATTATAACCAAATTTCATCTCCTTTTTAACATATTTTCTTATTACGTTTTTCATTGATTTATTTAGTGTCTTTTTGTAATTTATTAAAGAAACTCCATTTTGCAAAGTTCCTGTTTTTGTAAATTCGCTGATTTGACAATAATACCCTTAAATCTTAATGAAGGTTAAAGTCTATCGCTTCCTTGTGCCGTATAAAATCTTAACATCAACCCCTTGTCGAAAATCTCAAGAACAGAACTGCGATTTGTCGGATTTGAGAGATGTCTGATAACGGAGACTATGAAGGAAACGGCACCGCCGATGACGGATTCCTCACCGGAGATGGTGTTGTACGCGGCGGCGGCGATAGCGACGATCACCGAGACTCGAAATCCCAGGTATGGTCTCTGATTTCACCTAATTTACTCTATAGGGCTTTCGATTTCTGGAGCTATTGCTGTCTGTAGTTGGATCTCGTTCGGAGATTTGTGTGGAATATATGAGAAATCAAGATCAATTTCTTGTTGTTGTTGATGCTGTGAAGGGGTTTAGGTTGATTTGATCTTTGTGAAAGTAACTAGAGCTTCTTCTTATATTATTGCAATGATGAATTGTTTTTGCTTTGTAGAGGGAAATGCTTGACCGTAAGAGGGATGTTTCTAGAAGTAGAGAAAAAGATGGAGCCAAGGGGCGAGATCA